CACACACACACACACACACACACACACGCCCCGCAAGGGCTCTCGCACAACTTGCAAATCAAGTGAGTTAACGCTCTGCCAACTTCCTCTAGATATTGACCCTGGGGGTCAAACTCTTAGGAAAATGATGCCTGGTTTTCCATCCCCCTAATTGCAGTCCCCACCAACGAGCTAGTCCTATCTCTAAGTGGAAGCTCACAAAGAATTTCTCGAGAGAATATGGAGCTGCTTTGGCAACAGAATCCTCTCTGCAAAATGAGAAGAAAGAGTTGTTAACTGATGAGTCAATCCAGCTTTTATAGCAGTTTATCTTCGTGGTATTTCCAAGAGCATAAATGTTATAAAAAAAGAGAGACGGTCATGACAGGAAGAACACAGTAGAAAAAAAACAGGAACGTTTAAGCCAAAAGCAATTTACTTTGCCAGTAACTGGTTACATTTCCTTTGTTTTATTATTATTATTTCAAGAGTTGGGGTTGAGCTGAAAGTTTCCCACACCTGCACTGCCCTGACACATAACTTGTCAGAACCCATAGTGAAGTGAATATATAAATGAATGCCTGGAAACTCTGAGCTTCTAGACACTTTAAGAAAACAAACAAAAAAGCCTTGCTTTGCTATGCTGTCAAAAAAAGAGGGGGGGGCCCTATATTTTATTAATTTTTGACGGAATTAAGGAAAGGAAAAAACAAAACCCGTGGGTCAGATGTCAAAGTAGCCTGGAGCACTGGCGGTGGCTGATTCTCCTGGGATTAACGCCTATAGAAATAGCAGTGACTTCACAAAGGTGCATACTCGTTAATTTCATGACCCTGAGTAAGAGGAACAGATGGGTAGTTGGAAAGGAAAGATTTTTTAAAAACCACAGAGATGTTCCACTGTTGAGGCCAAAGAATCAGTGGCCCACTGCAAAGGGGTAATGTGCACGGTGCTCCAAGTTTTATTAGAACTGTGTGGCTTTAGTGGAAACCTTTCACCTACTGCTGAGTCAGGTTGACGGGGACCCGGCTCCCTATCAAGTCTGTAGGATGCTGTTGCCGCCCGAGATGGCTCTAGCACCCTTGTACTCCGTGGTATTTGAATGTTTTCGTTTAGGGAAAGCTCCCTGGTGACTGCCAGCCCAAGTTAATCATATAAATATCTCATTATGAGGCAGAATGAGTGCCTGTGTCCGTCTGTTAGAAGTTACTTAAAACAAGGACTCTGGATAAAGTCCAGCTGCCTGGGTTGGAATCCTTCTGCTCCCAGTAACCAGTTGCATGACCTGTGACAAAGTAATTTCATCTCTGTCTCAGTTTCCTGGCCTGGAAAATGGGGATAATAATCTCACCTTCCTGTTGGTTTGCTGTGAGTTTTAAATGAGTTATTGTATGCAGAGTGCTGACTGGCACAGAGAAAGTGCTCCGTGAATACCAGCTATCATCATTATTTGTGTGTAATATTGAAAACATTCGTGTAAAGGGCATTGACTGAACTCCGTGAATGAGCCAGGCCCGGCCCGGGCTGGGCTGTGGATTATATACACATGTAAAAGTAACCGTGCATTTATTGCTTCACACTTTTTTTTTTTTTTTTTTTGGAGTGGAACTGACTAGAGCCAGTTGTGCTATCAGCAAGTGTACTGCTGGCTTCCCACACTCCTGACCACCACCACACCATAAAGCATTTGTATTCACTCGCCTGCCTAGCAAATGATTTGTTCTCTTGACTGTAAGGGGAAAAAAACGTAGCCTGGGAATCAGAATTTTTACTCCTCCCTCCCCAAAATACCAGCCCCTCAATCCCAAAGCTTCACCTGGGGTCTTATGGTTCCAAAAGGTTTCAAATTGTATCACGGGCCTCCCACCCAGTCCTGCATGCTCCATTCTCCCTGGGACGTTGAACATCTGGTCTTCAGGGCACTGGTGCACTAGGGACAAGATCACAGCCCTTCTGAGATGCCAGACACAGAGGCTTAGGAGTCATCAGGAACCAAGGGCCTTTGGTTTTTCTGTCTCAATTCCCAGAGGAAACTTTCGAGTCACTGGGTTATGTTCCCAGAGCTCAAGTGTAAATAGTGAAAGTGAGTACAGTTTTACAGGTGCCTGGTGTGACAGGTACACAAAGGGCCAAGTTGGTGGGTTTGGATCTTGAAGACTTGAAGAAGGTACACGTGGGCATCTTTATTTCCATTAGTCACTTATTCATTCCACAGATTTATATTATGTAATGCCATCTCCTGGGTGTGTGCCAGGCAGGTGACAGATGCATCTCACATGGTTCTGCCCTTAAGGACTCTCCGGCTGCGGATAATAATAACCCATAAACCACAGCTAAAGTACCAAGAATACAGTGGTACTCTCCAGAAGAGAAAGTCAGAGAAGGAGGGCCGAGGGGAAACCAGAAGAGGGGTGTTGGAGCTTGAGGCTTGAGGATTGGTGGGATTTGCCTAGCCTACCTGAAATGTCAGCCATGCGACTCATTAGGAACAAAGGGCTTTTTTTCTCCTGATCAGATCCCATTTAGAGTTTAAGTTTGTGTGACCAGAATATTAGGTGCTAGCCTGTTCTAAATTTACAATTCTGAGAATCTGCTGGGGAAGGGCATGTGCTTCTCTGGGTTCTGAAAACAGCTCAAAGAATGGAGAAAATAGACCCGAATTGAGGATGACCTATTGTCGGTTCCCGGAACCTTTGCCTGTATTTAAAACAGCCTGTTCAGTACAAGTTCTATCTAAAAGGCCTTTGGGATTTGAAAGCTTTCTGGAAATAAATGCTTTTAGGTTTAAGTGTTTTTTTTTTTGTTTTTTTTTTTTTTTTTTGCCAAAATGTGAGGAAGGAGAGATCATAGTTAGCAAGTCTGAGAACAGAGGCGATACTGTTTTGTTTCTTTTCCTGAAATGTCTCAGACCAAACCCCAAGTTCTGTTCCTCTCCGTCAGCTCTCTGCTCGGCTATTATTTTGATCAGGGACACGAAAGTACATCCTTCCCTCAGGGTCATTAAAGTCTTAGCACTTGGGGCAGTTGTGGAAACCCTTCTGTGCTACACGGAGTCTTCAAACCAAAATAGTCTGCGCCTTGGCTCCGGGCTGAGGCCCGGCCGGTTCATGGAAGGTGGCATCGGGCTGTGACAGGGGAGCGGGAGGTCAGGAGCCACCGACCGGCCCGGCCCGATGAAATCACCAGCCCCGTGCAGGGAGGGGGAGAGAGCAGAGCCTCCCTGCCAGTCTGGCAAGTCGGCGAGGTCCTCAGAGCTCATCCCACACACTCCGTGCTAGTCACCGCTGTGTGTTTACATGAGTAATGGAGCTGCCGGGGGAGGGGAGTTGTAAGCAGAGCGGCCGGCCGGCGGCTCGCAGTCGCAGTCGCAGTCGCAGTCGCAGTGGCAGTGGCAGGGGCAGGGGCAGGGGCAGGGGCGGGCGGGCGCGTGGGGAGGGAGGCTGACATCCACCGACTCCAGGCTCCAGGGCCGGCGGCAGTCACATGCTGTGGCTTTCAGGAGCACAGACATCCTCGGGCAGATGTTCGTCGACTGGAATGGGTAATCGCTACTTTCTCTTTGCTTGATTTTCCGCTGTGGGTCTGTCTACCTGTGATCGCTCCAGGCTGGCTCTGGGGGCCGCACCTGTGCACCCTCGTCTGGGGGGAACCGAGGGGAACCGAGGGGACGCTGGGGCTGGGAAGGGGGAGCCTGAGCCCCACAGCCACTGCCACTTGGTAGACTTCGGCTGGACTGCAAAGGCAGCCCGGCTTTGCTGAGCGTCCCCAACAGCAGAGCTGTTAGCCACAGCAGAAAGTCAACTGAGGGGGACTCGTCCTGTTGGGAAGAGGGGTACACAATACCAAAGGCCTTGACCCCCTGGTCCAGGGGGTGATGTAAGGCAGGCTAGCGACAATTCAAAGCACTCCGAGTTGTTCAGAATTGGCGCTGTCGTAATCTTAACTTAAAGCAATCAAGGAAAGTGTGGGTACGTCGGAAGGGCTGGAAAAAACTGCTCCGGGGATAATTCACTCGTTTGGAATTGTTCAAGGGCTGCTCGGTTGGTTAGTGGTTGGTTTTAGTTTTGCTCGGCTTGGGTGACTGATGAGGCTCAGTGTGAAAGCCGATGCCGGACAGTCGGAGCGGAGGTAAACAGCTGCAGCCCCCTTCTTGCTGCTTTCCGTATGGATCTTAAAGGGGATTCAAGCTCCACATGAAGGAGGAAGCAGAGCTTTGAGTCGCGTCTTGTCTGTGGCTTTAAGAAAGTACAATCTCCACGGAATCAGGCTAACCCCAGTGTGATCTTTGCAAGTTATTTTAAATGATCCTCAAGATCTTCGTAAACTCTATATTGAAAAGGAGAGGGGAGCGTGCTGATCTGAAGGTATCTGCCCGATTTGTGGGATTTGGAACATGCTGGGCGCAATACTGTTAGTCAATACATGTAAGAATACCTTTCTGATTGTTACCATGAAGGCTCTTCCTGTAGCTCTCTCTCTACTTATTTGTATCCGATCCACTTATCCACTTATTTATCCACTTATCTCTCATAATCTAAGAAAATGCTCATGTCTCCAGTTTTGAGGAGGGAGGTTACGAAGGCTACATTACTATGATACCACAGGGGGCTTGCAGATCACCTAGGTTTCTGAAAACAAGATACAGAACAAAAACAGAGAATTAATCTCCGAGCCTGGCCCAGGGTTGTCCTTCAGCTCAGCATGTTTCTTTTCTGACAATAGGGAAGTGCATTTTCCTTCTTACTGTCCTTGAGAGCGAGAGCTTCAGTTTATTTATACTAATTAGACACGTTAACGTGTAATAGATTGGCTTTGGGAAGTGTGTACAGAACCGTACAGCCCACTAAGACGCAGCCCTTGGGAGACAGGAGCGTAACGTGGGGGCTGGCTTCCACACGTGGGTACGCCTCTCTGACCGGTGTGGAGGGCAAGAGGGCACCGCGCTGTCACCATTGCTGGTCTTTAATAAGGAAACCCATGCAGATGAAAATGTACATCAATTGTTCTTCATTTGTTTTCAGCGCCAAATCTTAAAGGCAGACCACGCAAAAAGAAACCATGCCCACAGAGAAGAGATTCATTCAGTGGTGTTAAAGATTCCAACAACAACTCCGATGGCAAAGCTGTTGCCAAGGTACGGTCCTTTGGTCCCTGCTATCCGTTTGGCTGCATCGTTCTATTTTCCCTTTTTTCTCTTTCTCTCTCTGCTCTTGTGTCTTGGTGGCAGTTTTCAATTCAGAGTCTGACTTTGGTATTCACAGCCCTCTGTGTCTGTTCCCGCCACCTCCCCTCCCCTGGGTGGTTGGGGGAGGGGGGAGTGTAGGCATTTTGATTAGTCAACAGAAAAGACTTCCCACCTCCCAGTCAGGCCTGTTGGGGGAAAGGACAGATGATTAAGCGCCCACGTCATTGAAGCTGAGATTTCATAGTAGGTGACACAATGACATAGTTTACTCTGCTTGTGTCAAAAATAGACCAAGCTGAACCATCCTCTTTCTGAACGTGTTCATCTAAATATGTTGCAGAGATTAACAGAGGACAAAATTAGAGATGGCTAGAATTGAGTTTTTTAGTTATATATATATATATTTTTTTTTTCAAAGTCACCTCTAGTTTACCTTAGATTAAAACTGAAGATATTTACCTGTATGGAAAAAGAGTTACATGTATACATGTACCCATATATGCATCTGTATCTTTTTAAAAATCTCTACTAACACTGAATGAAAATCCAAACTCTAAATGGTTTTTCAGGGCGCAGGCCCATTTTGCCCAAGCATTCCTTGGAGTCTCGAAAGTACATGCCTGAGGTATTTAGCACCATGAAGGGTGAAGTGTCACTTCGTATATTTAGACTTATCTTTTTGACTTTTGTGGGGTTGGTCAGATTTGCATGGTTCTGTTTACTGGGTGTTTGTGCTTAGGTGTTGATTCTGTGCCAAAGACAACAATAAGCCCTTTAGGACCTAAATTTGAAGATCACATGCCAACTGATACTATGTTTCCAGATCTAAGGATTAAATTTATGAAAACGAGAGCATTTTAACTAGTGGTGAATTTGGGAGATTCTGATGTAGAAAAATATGAATTTAGTTCTGTGTTGTCAGTCTACTGTTTATCTGCCATGTAGGCCACTCCTCTTCCCTGTGTTCATGAAGCCAGTCCTTCACATTTTATAAATCTTATTTTCAGCAGATGATTGTATTTTCAGGAAGTTCTGAGGACTTTCTGGGTAGGATTTCTTCATGCTTCCAAGAATGCAAAGGGTTAAAAAGAGATCAACCAGTAGAAATGTGTATTTTCTAGCTAAACACAGATCTGCCTTTCCCCAAAGTTATTTGTGTCTTGCTCGTTTAGCCTTGTGCAAATGAGTACACATGGGTACCGAGAATGACATTTTCTGGTAATTTGGACATCTCGGCCCTAGGACTACCTATCAGCTTCCATGGTCTTGAAGAATGTCAGCAGGAACAGTTTATTCCCTGCGATGTGGTTTGCAAGATACTGTAGAGTGGAGCGAGAAGGTTTTAGGATCTTAATGTTCAGCTGAGCTCCCACAGCTGGTGTCTTATGCTGGCACCCTGCCCCATACCTCCAAGGTGACATCATGTGTTTACCCCAGTATGTTCTGTACCTGAGCCCAGCAGGATGAAGCTTCTTCTCATGTCATTTGGAGTTACTAACAAAGTATGCCTCTGGGAATTTTACAAAACTCATACAAAGTGACCTGAAAGAACTGTACCTCCAATATTTCTCACCATGGAAGGCCAGTCAAGGCTCTGACTTGGACCCATAAGACTGGACAGGACAGAGGCCTGTTCTGTATTTCATTTTCACTGATTTCTTAGGAGGAATCATAGTCAAACCTGGGTTTTCTGAGTGACCCTTTCCACCCACCCCCCCTCTCCACCAATGCTGCCGTTAAGAATCTATACAAGGAGGTGGATCATCCATCCAGTGTTGGTTTCGGTGGTGAGTGGATGAGGCATCTGCCGCTGTCAGCTCCTGGGCGCTGGTCTAAATCCCCCTCTCTTCTCAGGGTCTTGGATTACAGTTCTGCTTTGATTGCTTTCAATGGGTCTGGCAAGACCACTTCAACTAAAAGAAACAGATTCGTAGGTATGAAATATGGCGGGCTTGTACATTGACACCAACAGATAAATGTAAAGTCTCTACAGGATGAACAAGCCGCCTCTGGGACCCAGGACGATCACTAAAATGGCATTTATGTCTTAAAGGGGTCTTTTCTCATGGAACACTGTAATAGAGATTACAAGCCTGTGACCATCTGATCACTTCTAAACGGGAGGCAATATTTCAGGTGACAGTTTGGCTTTATGACCAATACCTGTGTGACTGTGTTTTACAAAAGTGCCTCAAACAGACTATTTCTGATTATGGATACATACCAGCTTCCTGCACACAGCAAAACTCTCTAGAGTGAGAACCTCCTGGATTTGTGGTCATCTGCATGGCTGGAAGAAGAGTGCGAGCAATTTGCCGGTCTCTCAATGAGCATGTAAAAACCAGCTTTGCAAGACTCTTTTTTTCAAGGGACAGAGAATTTCATGGCTTTCCAAAAACCGCGAAAGTCACACGGGGAAAGAGGCTACCAGTTCTCTGAAGATGTCTTCAAAATGTCCAACCAAATCCTGCTATTTCCCTGGGATCCTCTTTTGGCAGCAGATATGGGCTCAAGCCCATTCATGTGGTGATCTATACAAGAAAAGTCTTCTCAGTCCAGGCATCTAATGGGAGGCCTTCACTGATGGAAGGCAAATGACATTTCATACTCTGTAAGCACTTTCAAAAGGCCAGAAGTATGTTACAGGTGGCTTATATTCTAAAAGGAACAAAAAAAAAAAGGGGGGGGGGGAAATCATGGTGTGCCATGTTCTTTCACTTAAACCATAAATGTTCCCTTTGATATTTCACAAATGTGATGCTTTCACTATCTTTCATCCAGTTTGGTCCTCAGGAAGCATCCCCAGGGATTATCCTTCCTACTTCCCTGGGAAGAAAATGAGGGTTTCCTAGCAAGTTAGTGACCAATTCAAAATTAGACTGTAGCTTCATCTTTCTTGCTGGCTCATCACATCTTGCTGCCCCAGTTGAAGATTGGATTAGTTATAACTCAGTCCAGTGAAAGGATGTGGTTAATATCAAATAGGTGGTGGTTCATTGAAAACATTAAATGCGGATTCTTTAATTAGCACTTCCTCAATCACTTTAGAAACCCCAGAGCTCTTAGTGAACTCAACAAGAATAAGGTGTTCAGGTTGGGAAAAACAGATCTAGTAATTAACTGTCACCATCAAAAGATTGGACTTTCTCAAGGTCAGCATGAAGACCAGCTCCTGTTTAAAATTGCAGTAGATTAAAATGTTAAGTTAAAATGAGACTGTTTGGGGTAAATGTGCAAATAGGTAGAAAGGAACTTAGCCAGGTCCTACCCAGAAACAGAGTAATAGCCTAAAGGGCAGCCTGAGAAAGGAAACCACTGCTGACTTCTTACAAAGCACCTGTGAACCCCCACCTCCCACCCCTGCTTGGAGAAATCTGCTGGCTCACCCACGGAGGTTCAGGACGGAGTTCAGTAGGTGGCAGCCTGGCTTTACCAGGAGCCTTCTACAAAGCAGGGAGTCTGAATGACTTTGGGCCTGGTTTGTATACCTCGTCCATGCTTTCTTTCTGTTTCTGGGTGATTCTGCAGTTTGAGGCAGGAGGTTAGGTGACCACCTGGACTGCCTAACCTATGAGGTCAGAAGCACCACTTCTGACCTCATAATATAAATAATTGGCCCATTATCGCTGCAGATTTAAGACTCGGCCTGTTTTAGATGCAAATCTTAGATCTACTCCTGTTTGTGCAAAACCGGGGTTTGGAGTGAAGCCGACCTGAGAGTCTAAACCCAGAGTTCTTTTGCCGCCATGAGCCAGCTAACAAAATACATAACCTCGCCGAGCTTCATTTTCCTCAACTGTAAAATGGAGCTGGAGGCCGCCCTTTGATGGTTGTTAGGAACATTTGGTAGACTATGTGAAGCCCTCAGCACTGTATCCAGCTCATTGTAGGAGCTCAATTGATACTGGTTTCCTTCCCTTTGCTCAATATACAATAGAAGGAATGGAGCCCTTTTATACTGTGGAAACCACCTAGCTTTATCTTATATTCCTCATTTGATAGATCATGTTTCTAAGCTGTAGGTTTTTACTGCCTAGTAATAAGATACACTTTTAATTGGAAGTGTGTTTTGACTATCGATTCCATTTTTTTTTAATGAGTATCAGTAAATTATAGTGTTTAATCCCAGAAGCCCAAGAGTGAGACCACCTGGGTTCAGATCCCAAGCTCATCACTTACTAACTTGGACATGATCCTATTGCTGTCACCCATCCCCTGTGTGCCTCAGTGTCCTCATCTCTAACACAAGAATAATCACAGGCCTCACTAGCTTGTGGACAGAAGATGAGATAATACGTTAAAAAGTGCTGAGAACGGAGCCTGGCTACATCGTAAGCACTCACAGACGGCCAGGGGCAATACAGATTAAAACTGGAATGATTTTATAATTTCAAAAAGCCATTCAATTAGAGATTTCATCAGAACTTGAGGCTCAGTCTAAAATTTGGCAGTGAGAAATGATGACGACATAAAGTTTCACAGGATGTTCACCTTAATATAATGAGACAAAGTACCAAAGTTTGAAAATATCGTCAGTAAAAATTCTACATGGAAAAGTGTTTTAGTACCATTTCTAATACCCCCTTAAAAATTAAAATCTTATCTAGAGTCTAGAGGCTCCAGTTGAATGAGTTGTACAGGAAGTTTTATTTTTTCCAGAACCAGTCTAAAGATATTAACCTCGCATGTTCACTTGAGAAAAGAGGTTAAAGAAAGCCCTTGCAGGAGGATACAATTCCCTTTTATAAATAAGCATAGCCTTTTATATTCTTAAGGCCTGGGAAGGAGACGCCGAAGGGAAAGAGAAAGAGCGGTCAAAATCTGAAATGGAAAACAATGTCGAATATGTGGGACATTTTTATTCATAACATTTCCCCAGCGCTTGCCCTCTTCTCTCCGATGTTAGATACGGAGATGTAAAGAATATCGGAATGTACACATTCCCCATGGGCGCACTTGAACTCAAAAGTCTGACCCTTTGTACTTCCCCCTTTTACAATTAAAATAGCTCAGCAACTTGGCGTTATATTTAACAACCATCAAAGGCCTCTTGTAGAACATGGCAGTGAGGAGGGAACATTGGGTTAGCCACTCAGTTTTTCGAGTCCCACATTCGCCTAGAGTGTGGAAGGAATGACATCTGGCACAGTGGCCGCCATTAGTTTTTTAATTATGGTGCTTTCCACTTTAGTCTCCATGGGTTTTTAGCTGACCTCTACTCTTTCCTTTGTGGCAAGTTTATATGTCCTATTACGTTCTCAGAGCTGACTGAAGAGCCAGGAGCCTTCGTTAAGGAGTGGAATCTTTTGTTTCCTTCTGAGGGTGTATCTGGGCATCACCGTCACGTGACAGATCTTGCTGTTATTCCTGAGGCCAACATCCTCTGGCATTGACATGTGTTTTTTCAGGTTGCTGGAAATAGTAGCAACAAGCTAAGTTTACTATGAAGAAATAAACTTTCTTTCATGTTGATACAAAGTGCAAAGTATGGGACTCTTCATTAAGAAGACAGGGTTTCATTCAATGGCCTTAACAAATGGTGGCCCTTGGGAAAATGAATGTGGACAAAAAAGCAACGGAATGGTACCACCAGATCTGAACACTGTTTCTGGTTTCACATCAACATGCTTGTAAGGACTCTAACAGAGGCTGGAAAATTTGGCAAACCATGGCCCCCTCACCACCTGTTTCTATAAATAAAGTTTTATTGGAACACAGCCACACCCATTCCATTACATGTCTGTGACTGCTTCTATGCTAGTTGAGTGTCTGCAACAGAGATTATCTGGCCCTAAATCCTGCAATATTTACTACCCGGCCCTTCACAGAAAAGTAACCACCCAATGGTATTCAGTGTTGCCGCTAAAAAGCTACTTCAGGGCAAGGTTATTTACTGGTTCACCCTTCCCACACTGTGCAAGCTGTCACTGGCTGTGTCTGTAAGCGTTCCGAGGCTGTACTTGATTTGATGTGGCGTATTTTTCCCCCACTTCCAGGTGAAATGTGAGGCCAGGTCAGCCTTGTCCAAGCCGAAGAATAACCATAATAACTGTAAAAAAGTCTCAAATGAAGAGAAACCAAAGGTTGCCATTGGTGAAGAGTGCAGGGCAGATGAGCAGGCCTTCCTGGTGGCACTCTATAAATACATGAAAGAAAGGAAGACGCCAATAGAACGAATACCCTATTTAGGTTTTAAACAGAGTAAGTATGCTTGTTTTCATTTCTGAAATATCAAAACTGCTCAGATTCTTTAAATTGGGAAAAAAAAATTGACTCAGGGTTATGTTGAAATCCTAATGTGGGGATGATGCTCTCTCTGTTTATACTATATCTACAAATCATCCAGGCCACGGATTTTTCTCCCTGCCCCTTCCCGCTACATTGTTCCCTACTGGGGCAGTTGCAGTGAGATATTTATAGGCTTGAATCCACTGATTATGACTGGAAATAGACATGTTGAAAGTTTCTCATTTTCTGTTTTGTCAATCTTGAGTGTCTGTAACGCCTTTCTTCTGAGATAATAATATGACGTAGCTTTATCAGACACAGATGTTGCCTGCAAAAAAAAGGCAGCTTTCAAGAGGAAGACATTTAAAGGTGGACAAAACAACCAGAAAGCAAAAACGTATTTCCTAAGCCCCAAATTTGTGAAGAGATAACAAAAACCTGACTTCACAGGAAACCCGAAATACACAGATGGGAACCGAAAGCCCAATTTTGGATTACTTTGATGTAGACACTTAAGCATCATAATACATTTTTAAGTAGAAAAGGAAACTCACAGCTGAGCAGAATTCCATAGAAAAAGAGAAGAAACCCAGATCCAGCCCTGATTTCACAACCGAATATATATTTTGCCTCTGTCTGGATTTTGTAGCACACAAAGCAATGAGCCCCTGGCTTGAAATAGTATTTTCTCCAAACGTATCTTCCTAGATTAAAACCATGTGTCATTTTGATGAAGAATGTCAAACCTGTATGTTTTACATAACAATTTACATACCTAATAGCAATTGGCACTGATTGCAAGAGAACCCTCACAGCCATTATAAACTTATATAACTACGAATGATTACAATGTTTGTCTGAAAACTGGTTGCTTGAAATAGAAGTAAAATTAATGTACTATGAACAGCTTTGTTGCATTATGCATTGGTTCAGATTAAATCAAGGCCGAGGCAGGGCTCTTGATAGCTTTGAAATAGTGCAAGGTTCAATGAGGCTTTTCCAACATGTTGTGTCAAAGAGCCTTTTTTTTTCTTTTAATTTTAATTTTATTCTTCATTTCCCTTACCAAGGAATTACTTGAAATTCAACTTTCCCGTCTTGTAAAAGAGTCAAAGCCACAGCAGTCCCATTCCATAGTATTTGGGACAAATGAGCAGGATTGCTAGCAATTTGGCAGAGTTGTTTAACAGCATAAATGTATGCAAGCCCCACAAAGAGAAATCTGTTCGAAAAAGGTATATATTCGAAATATCACACAGGCAAGTGAGGAGGAGACTAAGTGGACTCAGGACTCAGTCCTTACTGAATGAGTATCTTCTTCCCTTTGATCTGTTTTATCACTACCACTTCAAGGGTAAAATATGTGTTTTCCTACTTGTTACAAAGGCACCATGTGTTAGTGAAATGCAGTATGAGTTCTTAATATAGTGCTGCCATCAGACATTTCTATTAGAAAGGTAATCGTGTATTAAAGTGGCTGTTATTTATTGATTATGGTAAATTCTTACCTGAAGGAAGCATTATATAGTACCCTTTAATCAATGGCTTCTTTCTAAGGGTTGAACAAGACCAACCCTAATTTTGAAATCTCACACTTTTCCCAAGGACGCTGTAACTTAGCTTCTCTGGGTCTGCTGATGGCAACATGACTAAAGCTGTGTTATCCTTTATCCCCAAAGTAGAACCATTTCCGTATTTGTGACTGTTTCTTAAGAAATATTTTAAGTGGTAATAATATATCCTGTTGTCAAATGCCCTTTGGCAAATTGTTTCCTAAGAACTTAGCTCTCTGGGGTACTAGTTTTGTTTTTGCTTTTTTTTTTTCTCTTTCTCATTGAAAACAAAACAAAACAAAATGTTTTAATTGACATTTCTTGGAAGTATGTTAATGCAATGCTTATCTAAATACTTATTGTCCCTCTAACAGTTAACCTTTGGACTATGTTTCAAGCTGCTCAAAAACTGGGAGGATATGAAACAGTAAGTGTTTAAGCAACTTAAATGAAATAATTTTGCAATCTAACTCCCCCACCCCTTCTTTGACCAAAATGGAGAAAATGTAAAAGCAAACCATCACTGACTGCCTTCTCAAATGGCTCCACACTTTTGGGGGTTTATTGGGCCGCTTTTGGAAATGATCCCAATTAGTTCCAGGTTTGGCAAAATTGTAAACTTGTCATAAAAACTACAAGTGGAAAACATATGTAACTCTCCCCTGTCAGGGAAATTAGTTGGGTCTGTAATTTTTTCCCATGTTGAGAAAGGGCTATTATTGTACAACAAGCCAAGATTGCATAAAAGAAATTTCCCTTGGCAACATACCTGACATCTGTTCATGTCTAATATGGGAAATGTATTAAAGGCTTTCAAAAGTAATCAGTATTGGCCATTAAGGAATAGAATGCAGCAGAATCTTCTCTTATTCTAGGGCAAGGAAGCTTTATTAGACAAGGGTCAGTGCCGCATAAACAGGAAGTTATCAAACTTATTCAGAACAGGCTCTGACACTCTTTATCAGCTAATTCTAACTGACAGGAATGGCTTATTTTTAGCCCACAGGAAAATTTGATGGCCACGGATTTTACAGCATGTATTTTGAACCAATAAAATGTTAGAGCAACAAACTAAGATTAAAATCTTGAAAGAAGAAGAAAGAGCTGTATTAATATAGCACGCAGAGATGAAATCTGTAATAAAATCAATTGACATAGGAAGATGTCGTCATTGGAAATATTTTCTCCTCCACACAATGATCAGATTAAGTTGTGCAGTCTCTTCTGCAATTGAATAAGAAATTATTTTTTTCTTTCCTCACAAAGTAACCGGGGATATCTCTATATCACAGTAAAATGACAGTATGAGACACAAAGTCAAGAAAATGAAATTCATTTTAGCCCCACCATAATAACAGTGTTTCTTGCCAGATATAGCATATTGTTCCACAAACTAATATAATGGTTTGATGTCAGGGGTTTGGAATGGGAAAAGATGGCTAGCATGAAGTGATTCAGATAATCTGGTATTTACTTTAGAGATACCTGCTATGGATTCTGACTCAGAACTCTAAGATGTGAGTAAATGTGGGTGTAAAATGTTTGTGTAAGACCTGGGATATACATACCCGTATGTAAAGCAATATAAAGCTCATATGAAGCACTATAAAATGTGTGTTTCAGAGACATGAATTTACTTAAATACTTGTTTTATCAAGTACCCTGGGTAAAAATAAATAACGTAATTTTTCACTTGGTTGGATCTGTTGGTAAGACAGAGAGATTGACTTCTTTCCATGGTGGCTTCATAGTTTTGCAAAACCTTAAGCTAATTCTAGCTTTTGTCCACGTGAAAAAGATAACTTATTCAGAGCTAGTCTCGTGGATACAGGAGTCAGCCCCATAGCCTAGATTTTTTAAGTCTAACGCTTGATATTAAGAATAGGAATGCACATTTGTATTGACTGCAGATAAGTTACATGATACTGTACAATATTATGAAATGTCTTTTTTTAAACCCAGAAATGTATTGTTGTCTACTGATAGGGAGAGTGCCAACAAATTTCACAGAATCCGTTTTTCCTGCTTCTTTGTATCCTCTGTATCTTCACAAGGATCTGTTTTCCCCCCATGCAACAGCAAGTGGGTGTAAAATGCACAAAAGAAACTTCTGATAAGTTTCAGGGCATTTTCAGTATTCTGAACCCATAGTAGTTTTTTTTTTTTTCTTTTGTTGAAGGAGTAGAAATAACAAATGACCTCGCAATCAGCAGATCACCTGAACACACATTTAGTACGTCTTATGTGTTCGAGGCATTGAGTGGGACGCTCTCGCTCTGGAGGACACAATAATATCTAAGCCAGTGGTTCTGGTTTCTTGCTGTCCAGGAGAGGCAGGGATTATAATTAAGAGACAAGGTAGAAAAAGATCCGTTCCCTGATCAGGGAAAGTACTACTTCATTTAGAAATGAGGGAAGGAGGACTTGTGGCTCTCGTGCCATCTGAGCAGAATTTTGGAGAATAGATGGAATCTAGATAGGAATGATCATGGCCTTCCAGGAAGAGAGAGCCAGATGGAGAAATCAGATGTGGAGGTAGAATGATGTTGGACATAGAGAGTTTGAGTAACTTAAAGTGGGTGACCAGGTGGCTGGGACAAGTGACCTCAAAGGGGGGTCCAGAGAGGATGGAGTCCTGTGAGAGGAACTTTTTGGTTGGTAGCCCCTGGAATTATTCTGTAGTCTGGCTGGGGTGGGGGTGGGGGTGGGGGACGAGTGGCGTATAGGAGATTGATAACAAGCTAAGTGTTACGTTTTGCCACTTGTTCTGCCTTCACCGGGTGTAGGTGGAGCCAAGTGGAGAGAGGCTGGGATGGGGGCATGTGGGAGACTGGATTGCATCTGCTCCCCAACTGCTGATGTATGAGCTGCAGGCCTCTCCAGCCAAGACACAGAGAGGACTGGCAACCCCTGGAAAAGCTCCCTCCCTCCTCCTCTCCCTATTTACCCATCAACTCCCTCATTGTTCGTTGGGCCCCTGCCATTCCTCACCTCCAACATTTTCATCTCTTCTGAGGCAGGGAATCTACTTAGAAAACATATTTCTCTGTTCGCTATAAAATCTACATCCAAGGTCATGAACTGGCTGAAGCTGGTTGGTCGGTGGGTCAGATTTTTCCTCCCTCCCTCCCTCCATTCCTTCTCTCTTCCCTTTCCTTTTTATCTCCTTAATGATCCATATGATCTTGCTGTCCCTATGGGCAGGGAAGCTTGCCACTCCCGTGCTACTGGAAGCTTTTGAATCCCCCAAGTACAGGATACATTTTTCTATTGGTATATGTTGACCAATAAATGAAATGAGCTGTTCACTGAGGATTCGATTTTGAAGTCGGTCCAGCGGGTGTATGAATAAGATCCCGTCCAAGGGCTTAAGTTGTCGTCACTGTGTTATTGAAAGACATTTATCTATGCGATTATCTGATATCAGAAGCAAGTGCAGATTTGTCATTAGAGCTCAAAAGAGATCTTGGAATCTTCTAGATCCGTGGTTCCCAAAGGCTACTCAAGAACTAGGGCTCAGATTTTCAAAGGGGAACTTTGTGGTATTCAAAGCTGTGTAGACGTCCACCCTAAGATATTAACTCTGTGGTGGGCCCTGGGCCTAAGAACCCAAGAATCCTGTTTTCCCAGCACTCCGGGTGATGTCAATTCAAAGCTAGTGGTAGCAGTGACCACTGGCCCTCGTGGCTCCTTCCTTCATGGTGTAGACCCATCTAAGTCAAGCATCAAAGATTAGAAAGTTGTCTTCACGCTATTACTAAAGAAGCCCGCCAGAATATTACCCTTCCTTTGGTTCCGAAGCAGCACAGAATTTCCAATGAAGGTTTTTCCATTTGGTGAAGTGGTAATCCAACTAAGTTGGGACTCGATAAGCCATTTTCATTTTGAATGTGGGAAACCATAGCATTGAAACCTTTTCTTGTTTTGCAAATTGGCCTTGTATTTACCCTGCTCCAGTCCATACCCTCATTTTACAAATCAGGAAACTGAGGCACAGTGAGGTGAAATGAGTCACAAGGGGTCGTTGTGGGCTTCTTTGGATTCTGACTTGCAGAGAATGTTTGCGCACCATTGCCATTACCTCTGTAGCAACACTGGGAGGAAAGAGATGCATTAATGACCCTTCTTTGTCCTTCCACCCCCAGAAGTCTCCTAGGCATCTACAATGCCTTCTCCCTCTTTGGGGTGATATTTTGGGAAAAGCCACTAATAGCCTACCTTTCAGTCGGTTCTTTGTACCTACCCTGAACCTTACCAGGCACACTGACTACTAGCTGAGATTTTATCGGATTCTTGAGAAAAATGTGTGAACCTAGGAATGGGTCGAGAGGGCTGCATGATGAAAACATTCAGTCATAGTAAAACCTTGCAAGTTGAAAATGTGTAGATGTATCTCTTCTGCTGTTAACTTGTGATTGGATAAAGACATCTCTCTGGAATTCCTTCTGGTTATAAAAAGAGGCCATCTTAATTGGCTTGTTTTTGTTTGTGGTTATAAACTATTCCAAACCTTCTGGTTTGAATTGTGGATTATGGATTATTTCATTGCAGCCCTTCACAACCCTCAAATTGAATTAAAACAACAACAACAAAAAAAGAGGAGCAGAGGTTTTATTTTAAGCCTTTATAAGCATTTGACTAATGACTATATTCAGTTCTCTTGGCCTCCTCTGCCTTCGCTGGATTGAAATTTGTGTCTCTGCATCCTTAGGTTTAGAGATCCTACAGGGCTTGAATGGATTTGATTCCCTAAAAAAATAATATCCTGACATTTTGACTGGCTGGCAGTGAAGATCCTTCCTCTACAATCATACATCCAACTTCTCCTTCCAAGCATTTTAGAGTGTAGGTCACCTGCAGTTGCCGAGGGAGAATGGGATAAAGCTGCATTGAGCAGCGGGCAAGGTCTTCACTCCAGTGTCTGGTGAAGCAATTACAGCTTGAAGAGTAGCTTGGGGTATTACCAGGATGCAGCGTGTTGAGGGTGGTTTGCTAAAGTGATTTCCATTTGGCTAACCATGTGATGGTGAACCAGAGGCAATATTTGGAAAGAAGGTAGAGTAGGGAAATGGGTCTTGAGAAAACCTTATTCTAGAGGCAAAGGACCACGCAAGCGGTGCCTTCCAAGAATGCCCAGTTAGCTGCTCCATCTCTCTCCACGGATGAGATAGGACCATTATTTCTCATCTAGAGGAAAAAGTCACATGTCTCTTTGCTGGAAGGATTAGGCTTTGACACCAGATTCTGGCTTTGACATCATTTCGAGACATCCTCTGAATCTAACCCTAGTAAACTGGACGGACAAAGCCTCTTGCTTAATTCAGAATTCTCGAGGCCAAAGATGATGTCATGTAGTTTTGAAAGGCTCCAGTTCCTGGAGTACTACCAGGAAAAAAAAGTCATCTTCCTTGAATTCAGTCCGCCCTCAAGGTGTCCCGAGAAAGAGGCTGTTTCTCAGAGCAGCCTGGGCAACACTGTATGCAGGCAAATGTTCCTTTTGACTTCACATCTGCTACATTCTTAAGCCATAGACACACTAAAGTCCTGTGAGGTTCCTGATTGCCGTTTCCTAACCAGGCCACAAAAATTCTAAGATTATTTCATCCCTGCAACCTCAAAGGTAAAGAATGCAAGGCTCCAAGGCCATGTCTTGGGTTAAAATAGTTTTCCTTTTTTTTTTTTTTTTTTTTTTTTTTAAAGGACTGGGATAGTTTCATCAAGTAAACTATAGACAAGACAGATTTCTTTCCCACCCCCTGGACCCGTTTTCTTGGCCGCGGTGTGGAGGTTAGTTTCAGGCCACCTCTAAAACTGGCTTCCAAAGAGTGATTTGAAAACCACTATATTTAGAAGCAGTGAACATACACAAACATAATGCGTATGCAGTGCCTTTCACTAAGTTTCTTGGGTCTTACTCACACCAGGGAAAGGAATAACTGACAAGTGTCTTCAAAGTGAGATGAGGTCTCCATGCATGAGATTGATTTGCTTTCCTTGGGTGTGGTCTGCTCAGTTTTTTCTCTTGCTTTGTGATTAGTCATATGGGATCATGCTTCCTGCTAAATTATGAACCATTGAAAATAGTAACTTCTCTTTCTTTTTTATAGTATCCCCCACCCTCAACCCTCCATCCTCTACTTGCTCCCTCCATGCCTCTGTACCTGGCACAGTGTCCTAAAATAGCAGGCAGTAGGTGATGGGTTGATTGTCATGAATCCCTATCATTTCAGTGAAGATCTTGAAGGAGATGACAGGGGAAGCACAACCCGAGAGAGATCATTGCTTGAATGAATTTGGCCATTTTCTTTAGGAAACAAAGAGCCAGAGTTCTTCGTATCCTTAAAAACCTAAAATAACAGAAGGTCAAATTGAAACACGAACATGACCAGGAGTCTCCGGCTTAATGACAGTTAGTCAAACTCACCCCGTGGCTAGATCAGACTTTTCACCTGAGTGGAACCGGAGGGCTAGCGACTGCTAGGTAGACATTGGGTTTTCCCAATTGGAGTTTTAAAGATAACGCACATTCTGGACAGCGGAATAAAAAACCTAAGCAAACGCACGCTTGGGCATGATGAAAGCATACTAGTTCAGGAGGCACATTTGTACAGGTGAGAGCACAATGCCCAGTAGCTGGGCCAGGAGCAACTCTTGTGCCTTTCCTTTCTCCTTTTGGACTCTCGGACCCACTGTGGGTTTGGACCACGGGAGGATTTAGATGTTTCTTGCCTTGCATCCTGTGGATAGCACTTGAATTAAAAGCGCATCTGGACACAAAAAATGGAGATGTGTACCCAGGAGAATTGTGTACTTAAAAGCATAAAAGCATTTAACAGTTGGAAAGAGCACATTTTATGACTTTCCTGTGGAAAGAAAATATCTCAAAATGGCCTGATTCATCCAGGCTGGCCAGTGGAAGCTCAGTAAACAGGGACCACTTCCTGGAAGGCCTGGCCCTTGTCTTTGCTCCAGATGAACCCTCACTGGTAAAAACTGTATTTAAACACCAGAAACTGCTAGCAAGGGCTATCGCAGACCCCTCGCCAACCGCACATGGCTTACTATTGCCAAGTAATCCTTGATGCTGGCCCCCTGCTGCCATAGTTTCAGTCCTAGAGTAAGGAAGATTTTTTTCCCCTCCTTTTGATAATTCATTATTTGTTCTTAAAGAATTTTGTCATTTCTGTGAAAGGCAAGTGTTGACTAGGATACTACTTCCTAGTCTAGATGATAGGGTATAGGAGTGGGGCGCAGTCAGTTTCCACACATTAAGTATCCCATCATCAGTGGTCTCTCATTCATTACATTTTTCACAACCTTTATTATTTTGTTATATGTGTGGTCCTTGGTCCATATTTGGTATCCCTCCCCCACCTCAACCCCACATGCTGGGATGTGGTCATGTTGGATGTTGGGTCTGGTTTTCACTGTTGCATCCCAGATGCTAGCATAGCACCCAACAAGTAGGAGATGTTAAAGAAATGTTTGGTGAATAAATGGTCAAGTGAATGGATGGGTTTGAATATAATTGAGAGTTATTGTGATTCAGTGGTGAACATAATAGAGAACCTCTGTTCTAGCAAGATACACAAGTGGTCAGGGTAGAAGGAGCCATAGTTTTGCTGGATGCAAGTAACCTTTCAGAGCACTGTTAACCCAACCCCCTTAGATTCTTGCTGACCGTGTCGCTGTGCTATTTCCCCACTAGTAAGAGACCCACAGCTCAAAATTGAGAACTTATAGCAGAAGCTATGATTTCCACAGTCCTCTGCCTCACGTGAAGCACACGATCCCCAGATTCTGTATTATCACCCTGCTATACACGTGGACCATTCACCAGCTCATTCTGATGGGGAGGTTGTTTTGATGTATGAAAAAAAGTCTGCTCTTGGGACATAAGACATTGGTGTGAGTCCTGACGTGGCCATTCTACTGCTGTGTGTCCTTCAGCAAGGTGTGCAACCTCTCTGTGTCTTACTTCCTTCATCTCTGACAAGATTCCTATAATCTACCTCAGGTTGATGGGAGGATGAAATGATACCATGCATGTGAAAATACTTCATAAAATATGAAATAGAGTGCACGGAAGAGATACAAAGATGACAAGAGTGGTGATTTCCTCTGAAGTGCATGTAGGGACATACATAGGCTATTTCCTGACCATTCCAGGCACGCCAGGGTGCACACACATCATCTGAGGGAGGGAAATACGGAGGTGTGTTTCAAGGGGCCTCAATGTTCTAAGGGCTTTGAGGAATAACATAGACACGTGGGAGGGGATCCTGTTTCGCTTCTTCCTTGACACAGATCTTGAATAGACCAGCCTGAAAGCATATTATTTGAAAGATCGGAGGGAGCTTGTATTTAAATATAAAATAATTACTAAAATATGTATTTTGAGTGTTTTGAAAGGGGTTTGAAACCATTTATTATAATCTAAGCCAAGCTCTAAATAAAGGAAGATTTTATTTCTAGTCATACCTGCCAGTAGATGTAAGACGTGGTTCTGTCTAGAGAGAACTATTGAAACAAATCGGTTCAAGAATGCTTCGTGGGAAATTGAACAATGCAAACCTCCCATTGTCTCGAGGTTGAGAAGGGCTTATAGAAATAAAGGGGGTTTTATTTGAAATGGAAAAGGTACCATTTACCCTATAATATTTAGCCACCCCTCCCCTCCTCGTTAGATTACAGTTGACAGAGTCCCTGTTTACAAGTTGAGATTTTTTTTTTTCTCTCAGATTGATGCCTTTAGCCCGTAAGTGAACTCCGCTGGCAGCTCTGCGGGGCTATTTCAAAAGAAGCCTGGTGCTCTGATTGCAGCCAGTGCCACTGGCACCCCTGCCACGCCCTGCCCCCCGCACATTCCATTAACAGAGTTTTCCTGTAACTCTGTTTAGAAAGGTTCACAAGGACCTCAGACTGTGCTCTGTCTCCTGGTTTCAAGGAAATGCTAGACTCACTCGGATGTAGTAGATGACGTGGTTTCCCCAAATTCATCATTTGCCAGATCATGCATCTGTTATTTTGTAAAATCTTAATTTATGTACAAAAATAAAATTAAAGAAAGAAATTAAACAGGACCATAATGTGCCTCTCGGTAGTTTTGCAAGCTGCCCCATTTTATTCACCCAGCGCCACAGTAGACGTAGCTTGTGTTTTCCCTTTGGAATTTGTTTGGTTTCGTAGGATTTGATGGATAGCCCGTTTTGCTGACCTAAGTGAATAAAAGTAAACAGGTTGCAACGGACACAGTTTCAGATTTTGGTTTTGTCTTGGTGGTTAGAGGAGCTGGCATAAAAGTATCCCGGAGATGACTGCAAATTCCATAAGCAATTTGATCAATTTAATTAACTTATGTAGTAATCTTATTTAGTGTTTAAAGTAGTCAACGCATCACATAGGTCAAAAATCAGAAGATACAAGAGGAAGCTTGGGGAGAAGCCTCTCTCTTTTTCTATAATCTTGGCCACCCAGTTCCCCGCCCCTTATACAACCAGTGTTAATTCTGATTATTTTAAACTGACACTTTAGCTGAAATCTTATTTTATGGGGTGCTTTATCACATGACCTAAAGGATCAGAGTATGAGTTTGGGTCCTTGAGGGGAAAGAGCTGCATAAAATATCTAGGGAGATGCCTTAGGTGAAATGCTCTAAGGGTGACAAAATATAGAGCCCAAAGCGGAATTCTGTGTTTATTGTAAAGAAAAGTACCACGAAACAGATCCCACTGTGAAACCCCAAGTCTCCCCATACCCTCATTTGGACTTCTGTGTCTCTGGGTTTCCAGAACAGACTGTCCTTTTCTGCCTGTTGCATATGTATTGAGTCCTGGCACTGAGAACCTCTTATGATGCAAGATTGAATTTCCCATTGCCATTTTTTCAGATAACAGCCCGCCGACAATGGAAACATATTTATGATGAATTAGGCGGTAATCCTGGGAGCACCAGCGCCGCCACTTGCACCCGCAGACATTATGAAAGGTAAGAAGCCCTTTCTTGGAAAGCCGTTGCTTAATTAAAAGTGTGTTCATTGGAAGAGGCGTCTGGTGAAGGATAAGATAAGGGGAAGTCTAAAGGACCTTTCTGGAAATAGAAAATATCCTCTGGCATTTTACCTTGCATACCGCCTTGTGATTTTTTAGGGAACATGGCTTTCTCTAGTTACAGGGGCTAAAATTAGATGTTTTTTTCTGTTTGGTTTTATCCTGTGATCACCTATTTGACAATACCTCCCCGCCCCCCACAAGCCTAGATTACTCAGTGTGTTCTCCATAGGTTCATTTACTACAAGAACCTTCAGCTTCTGGCAATCATGAGTCTGCAGTGTTACTATGAGGTTGCCGTGTAACCGTATTGACATTGAAATGTATTAATATTGAAAAGTAAGCATTTCTTTAATAAGGAAATTGGCCCCAGATAAGATCCATTGTTTTTTTGCCATCTTGGTATTTTTTCTTCTACGGCTCTGCTTTTGACCAAGAAAATCCTTTCTTGCCAAGCTTTGCGTGGTTCCATTTTCTAACAGTTTCAGCTTCTCTCAGAAGGTAATGATCATGCAAACAAGAAGTAATGCCGAATTAGCTACTATGACGGTTGTATCCAAAGGAGTGTTTCCTCTTTGCATTAGGACTGTTGTTGCCCACAACAGTGCAGATCTGCTAGCAAATTCATGCATTATCCTTGCTCTGTGCTCCCACTCCATACTTGATTTGTTAAGGTCGCGCCAACTTCTTTATCCCTGGCCTTTCCCTGCTGACATGTTGACTGACTCAGCAACCTGGTTTCAGATTCAGAGCTTGTAAGATCTAAGTAGAGGTGTGTGTGTGTGTGTGTGTGTCTGTGTGTGTGTGTGTCTCTGTGTGTGTGTTAATAACGGTCATGAATGGAATGAAGTCAAGACCCAGATGAACAAACATGCCAGTCGGCTTGCTAGTTTGAGAGGTAAAACAGAACTGCTAAGTGTAATAGTTGCTCTTTACCATTCCAACTTCAACCCAGATGCTCAACACCCGCCTTTGCATCCTACAAATGCATCTTCAGATCATGTTATCTAGTAGATCAACTCTTAGTCATATTTTTTTAGTTCAGTTATATTTTTATCTGTGTTGCATTTAGCAAAGAGCCTCTTTTAGTATAGCCATTCAATGAAACTTAGAATAGTTTTTGTAGGAATAATCATAGTAAACTGGGTTGGGTTTAGTACCCCATGAATAATCCCCACAAAGTATTCCCAAGAGATTGCCTTACATGTTGGAGTTATGGTCCAAAAGAATTTTTAAAAATTGGTAACAGGAATTTGAATTATTACTCGTCCTAGCATTGTTTTCAGTACATTATATCAACTTTTCAAATGTGAGTGTTATTTCTCTCAGTATTTAATAGAAAACCTACATTCTCACTGTACATCACAGGGACACCACTGAAATCCTCCTACAAAATAGTATCCATATCTCAGGTGAGTGTTGGGTAAGGAGCGCTTGAGGGAACACATTTGACTGGTTTTGACTTAGGAGTCAAGGCTTTAATCAGAGCATTTTCATTAGAAACACTGTATTTTCGAAGGACTTCTATTCTGATGGGAAACCCCCCCTACCCCTATCTGCAAATGTTCCCAACACCTGAACCATCAAACTTCAAGGACCAGATAGCCGTTAAAATTTGCAAGAAAGAGTATATCCTAACTGTTAGCTAACTTATCCAGTTAAAGAATGAAAATTAATCAAACATATTACAGAGCTATCACATGGTAAAAAACAGATTGAGTTTGGGATAGAAAAAGGATTGGATCTAATAGTAGAGTGAGTGTGTATGTGTATAATTAACTCAAGCAGTTATCTGAATAAAAATAGCCTCAATCGTCATCATCTTTTTCTTCTTCTTTTTCTTCTTCTTTTTCTTCTTCTTTTTCTTCTTCTTTTTCTTCTTCTTCTTCTTCTTCTTCTTCTTCTTCTTCTTCTTCTTCTTCTTTTAGATTTTATTTATTTGAGACAGAGAACGCACAAGCAGGGGGAGGGGATAAACGGAGAGGAGAAGAAGACTCCCCATTGATGTGGGGCTTGATCCCAGGACTCTGGGAGCATAACCTGAGCCAAAGGCAGGTCCTTAACTGACTGAGCCACCCAGGGGTCCAAAGAGCCTAAATCTTAAATGAAATACCAGTATATATTCTTTTGAAGATTGTGTACTTTGTTTCATGATCTACCTCACCTGGAGTAGTAGCATCCAAAATGCCTTCAATCAGTCAAATTGGAAAATTCTAGTAGAGATACCTCAAAGTTTACTGAGAAACATATTTAAGATTCTTAAAAAATGTCTCTTCTCTCCTCATTCTTGGTAGTAAAAGGAGTATTTCATAAAGGTTAAATCTCCCACTGGATTATATTTTTTGAAAAACTATGTCACTCACTCTGCTAAATCTGGAATTTGTTGGGTCAGTGTGTATCAGGATACAGTAAGGAAGATAAGAACTACACTAGGTATTCAACAAAGAGAATCTACTGAAAAAAATGTCGTAAAGTGCAACATTAATATAGAGGTAATAACCACAGGTTCCCTAGGACCAGGAGAATAGGGAAAGAGGGTTAGGGTGTTGCCACCTAGAAGTTTAGAGAGTATGCCTCACAGAGCTGGGGTTTAGATCCCTCCTGGGGAGAGGCTCTCAACCAGTGCTGGTCCTTACTGAGCCCAGAGGTGGAGCACCGAGGAGCTGCTCTCAGACCTGAGGAGGCGGTGCTCCCTGACTGGTGTTGGACCTCAGAGCAAATGCCATGAAACTGGTCTGGGATTGTTGACAGGAGCTAGAGGCTGGAACCAAATGCTGCTGCTAAATTACTGTTGGGTTGGCCCTGAAATGAACAGCAAGCAAAATAGAAGTCCTTCCTCCCCTCCCTGGTTGGCTAGGGCCCCATTTACAGAACCCCAAAAGGAAGACAGCTGACAAAAGAGGCCTGTCATCTGCAGAACCCTGGTCCCAGAATCACCAAGCAGAGCAGAGTAGATTTGGAGCTACAACAATAGTCAACTGCCAAGTGGGCCCCCCAACGTGGAACTCCCTGCACAGATTCAGAAACTCCAGTTACAACAGGGTGATTAGCAAGGTCCTTTACCCTTCCTTGTATATCCTTTCATCATCTGGGCTGCTCCTTTCACGTTGCTGTGATCAGATACCAAGGATGTCTTGAATGACTAATAGTTAATAATAGTGAAGTACTAAAATTGGCAGAAATTGACTTTAAAAAAAGAGAGAGAGACTCCAGGGAGCACCTGGGTGTCTCTGTCAGTTAAGTGTCTGCTTTTGGCTCAGATCATGATCTCAGGGTCCTGGGATTGAGCCCCATATTGGGTTCCCTGCTCAGTGAGGAGTCTGCTTTTCCCTCTCTCCCCCTTGCTCATGTTCCCTCTCTCTCTCTCTTTCAAATAAATAAATAGAATCTTTAGAAAAAAAAAATGAGACTCCACTTATAATTATACCAGCCTCACTCATTTTGCACCAATCATGATCCGAAAGGACTCATCCCTGCTCCTATGTGTTGTGGTGGGGAGAAAAATCTGGGGGCAACTACTCTAGGTGTCTCACATCTTCTTTCTCTTTAACACTTCTCTCAGAGAAGGGCAGAGGACACTCAGATCTGTCCCAGGGACTAGAAACAGTTCTTCTTTGGTCAGAGAAGAGGCTGGAGCTCTTGGCTGAATCCATGCTTAAAGACTTGGCTGATCGCTTTCCTTCTTGCTAGTTACAGGCTGTGCTAACACAAAACAGAGTGGCCTAGATTGGTGAAGGTTCACCATTTTCAAGAAGGATCAAGAAGTGAGAAAGACAAATATCAGGATGTTGTGGGCAGACATCTCGTCCGGAGATGCCCATGGACATTTTTCATACCTTTCCCCATCAGATCAGAATGACTGGGTTGCTCCTGTGCAGCCAGTCACCTGGTCTCACTCTTTTCACTCTGGTGTACAGACTTGATCCCTTTCCCCTTCCCTATCGCCAGCTTAGCTTTCCAAGAAGATGAAGAAGAAATGAGTGATCTATGCATTATCCTCTGATTTATTTTTCATGTGGTGCGGTTCGTGTTTCCAGTAAATGTTTTCATTTTCCAACAAGAAAAAAGTAGCTGGGGCCTCAGTAAATATTACTTGTATATTTAGTTGAGCACTTTTGGTTTATTAATGAGTGTAATAATGAAAGTGTGGGTTGTTGAAAAGAATCAATGGGTGTTTTTATTTAAGGCATAACAGAAATGGTACAATGCCTGTGAATGCATCATTGTCGCTGAAGGCCTGACTCGTCCAAACTTGCCTCTGATTGGTTTAAATCAAATAGGTCCAGGCACTTCATAAAAATGTCTTTGTCAGCCTGGTTTTGCTTCCAAACCTATTCATCTCTGTCAGTTTTTAATATTAGTACCAGGCTCCTGGCCATAGTCCATTAGTACTGTACTTAATTGCTCATGTTACAGCTGATCACCAATATAAAAAGCATTCATGTTGCTACGTGGATGTCTCAAACTCAGTAAAGCTCATGAAGTGTGATTATTCTGGACACTTCTTGCTCAGGATATATAGTCAAGCTACCAGAGGTTGGAATGCAAAGAAAAAATGCCCACTGTCAGCTGGGTGGGAACTTTCTAAGTAGAACATTTTCTTTCTCATCCATCTCTGCATTGAAGGTGTCCTGAGTCACCTTTATGAGTAAAGGAACAAAAAAGGAAGATGGTTATTTTTATAGAGTCCTCTCAGCTTGATTTTCTGGAATAGTAATTCACCTTAAAGACTTTGTTTTCACATGCAGATTTGTTTTCCTTTTTAGAAAAATGTCTTTTAAGCACATGCCAGAGGGGGACAAAAAATCTTCACACAGAATACCAGATTACTGGTTTGAATTTTCCTGGATAAATTGCATAGTGTGTGTCTGAGGAGCACATGAAGTTGTTATTAAGGATGGAAAAAGGAGCATTAAGGCAAAAGGACTTTATGATGTG